GATACAGAGGATACAGAGGATCCGACAATCCGACAATCCGCTTTTTCTCCCTTGTACAAATGCATAATGTCCCGATTGATTACCATATGTAAAATCAATCGGAGGTGCTTTATTTTCGACTTTAAGAGCATTACTTGCATTCATTGTCAACCATTCATATGGATAATCTGATAAAGAAAAGAAATTATCTGTGCATGACGATTCAAAATCACATGCATACAAAGTCTTTGGAGGTAAAGTACGTGGTTCATCACAGTAAGCAACAGAAAGATCATCAAATCCTAAAGAAATAATTGAAGTATTCAATCGAATAAATATTTTGATTTTCTCAGCTGGTAATATTATATTAAACAATGTCCAATCATTGATTGTTGGATCTTTACCAGATATTGAGGCAACAATTCGTGTAAGTTGTTCATCATCATCTTGTACGAATTGAATTGTAAATGGAAGACTCAAATGAGGAGTATAATACCACATTCGAAAACATGTTGCTCAATCTGTTGATACTTCTAACCAATCTTTTGTTTTGATCTCGGTTTTTATTTCATAAAATGGTGGTAAACTTTTTGGACTATAGAATAGATAATGACCAGAACTATTGTTTAATGTATGATCATGATTAATAGATTGAGGATGAAAACCATCTGTTAAACCCCAATTAGTATCAACATCAAAATCATTACAAAGTGTTTCAAAATCACATTGAAGAATTGCTGTTTGACTACATAATGCATATCCAAGAAGAATAAAGAGAATTAACAACATTTTTTTTGTTGTCATTATAATAAGGTAGATTATTTATATAGATGAAAATAGATCTATTGTTGCTTACACGTTGTGCAACAACAAATCATGACATGCAGAACAATATAGTATAACAAAAAAAGATAAGAATTATTCTATTTACTCCCGAGATACTTATCAGTTTCATTTATAACTTTACTTTAGTTAGCGGTAATTATTCAATATTAGTTCAAAAATATTTCAGTTTGTTTAATCTACTTTCTCAAGTAGAGAAGAAAGAAGAAAATAATATTACAAACCATAAAAAATTCATTTCTTTTGAGGGCTCCGCGAGTACGAATGCAAAATGTACTCTGAAATAAACATCACCCCCATAAATTTAGAATCAATGGGGATGCACTCTCATGTACTGTCATGTACTCTGATCGTCGTATGTACTGGGGAAAAGTTTAGAATCAGTAAGGATGTACTGTCATGTACTGCGTCGAAAACATTAGAATTGCTTGGTATGTACTCACATGTACTATCGGGCGTGGGTGTGAGAGTAGGATACGGATATTCTCTCAGACGGAGACGGAGATCAACACCCACGCCCACACCCCAAAACAAGCTCTATTTCATTAATCCTGTAATAGAACGCTTCCAGGCACCCAATATACTGATTTCGCTATGATACAGTTGAAATTCTGAAGGGGAGTCGATAAGCGATGAAATCGACCCCCCCCTTCCTTTATTTAAAAAAAATGTTTTTCGTGAAGAATTATAACTAACGGGTGCGGCAGAATAAATGGACAATTCGTATTTTGTTGATATTTCGGTTATTTTTAATTGTTGAGACTTTCTTATTTTTTCCAAAACATTTGCCGTAGAATTCTACACAAAATAGTATAACTTGCTCAATTAATACATTTTGCTTTGGTTCGAAAGCATAACTTGTTTAAAGAACAAGAGTTAAACAACTTTCTAAATCTTTATTTTTCTCAAATTTTTTCAGAAAAGAATATTTATTTTCTAATCATGACTACTTACTGCCCATGTAGCCGATTTTATGAAATAATGGACATTGCAATGCATTATTTTACAATAGAAATACAATGGATGCAATTACATGATAATGCAACCTATTTCATGCATTATAATGCATTATTTTTAATTAATCCATTGCAATACATTGATTTATCAACGCATCATAATGCATTTTTTTTATAATAATGCATTATAATGCATTGAAAACTTCATATTTGGCACTTGCTATACAAGATTTATATAATCCTATTAAATCGATATCCTAATCACCATAATTGTATCTCTGTGGTTCTGCACATCTATCTCCTTAACTTAACCTTTTAACCTTAATCTATCCCCTTAACTTAATCCTTTAACCTTAATCTATTAACTTATCGATATCTATCTCCTTAACCTTAATCTGTTAACTTATCTATATCTATCCACTTACCCTTAATCTATTAACTTATCTATCCCCTTAACCTTAATCTATTAACTTATCTATATCTATCCCCTTAACCTTAATCCATTAACTTATCTAAATCTATCCCCTTAACCTTAATCTGTTAACTTATCTATATCTATTCCCTTAACCTTAATCTATTAACTTATCTATATCTATCCCCTTTGCCTTAATCTATTAACTTATCTATATCTATCCCCTTTGCCTTAATCTATCTCTCGAACTTAACTTAACCCCT